CCAGTATATCTTATGACAGGTATGGCCCAGGTGCTTATGGCCTTGATGGTATTGCCTCAATTGAGCTTGCTTTTGAGATTTTTTTTTTTGACCCTTTGAATGTATTCTTTGCTGACCACAATTTTCATATGTTCATGTTTGATGTTGTCCAGCTATAGTATGCCCAGATATTTATAGGCCTCTGGCTGGTGATATTTTATTGCTTGACCATTGGGCATTTTTATGCTCTCACTTTCAATGATTTTGCCCTTCTTCAATGCCACTGTTGAACATTTGTCCAAACCAAACTCCATGATGGTATCAGTGCTAAAGATTCAGACAGTGTTAGTCAGAGACTGGATTTCAGTTTCAGTTTTCCCATACAGCTTCAGGTCATCCATGTACATCAGATGTGAAATTTTGTGAGATTTCTTAGATGTTTGATAGCCAAGGTTTGTTTTTTGTAAGGTTATTGACAGAGAGATCATGGCAATGATGAAAAGCAGTGGGGACAATGAGTCTCCCTGGAAAATTCTTCTCTTGATGTTGACAAGTCCTTAGTTTTCATTTCCAACAAACAGTTCATTTTTCCAGTGCTTCATCATATTTTCAATAAAAGTCCCAATGTTTTTACAAATCCTGATGGTGTCTAGGCACTTGATGATCCAACTGTGTGGTAGTGAGTCAAAGGCTTTTTTGTAGACCATCTACGTGATGTGAAAATTAGTTTTCTGGCTTTTGCAGTTCTCCAGAATCATTTTGTCAATTAATAACTGGTCTTTTGGGCCCCTGCTTTTCTGTTTGTTGTCTTTCTGTTCATCTGGCAAGATGTTATTTTCTTCAAGATAATCTTGAATTCTGTCAGCTATGATGCCAGTCAATAGTTTAAACATAGTCCTCTACAGGAAACTACAGGCTGTTATCAGCTTGTAGTTTCCTGGTGCTGCTCCTTTTGCTGGATCCTTTTGTATCAGATACTTTCTCCCAGTTGTTAACCATTCACTGATACTTCCTTTTTGCAGTATCTCATTGAATTGTTGGGCCATTTTTCCATGTAGACTAGTCAGATATTTTAAAATCCATGCAGTTGATCACTACCAGGTGATGTCCAGTTCTTGACTTTTTGCACTCAATTGCTGATCATTTCAGTTGTTATTTCCATCTGTTCCATTTTGTTCTGTGATAATTTTTCTTCAAACCCCTTTACCCACCTAGTGTTTTTGTTGTAGTTATTATTTTCCCAGAGTTCTTTCCAAAACTTAGTTGTTGCAGTTTTCTCGGGCTTTATGGCTACTTTGTCTGTTGTTTGGTTCAGACTCTGGTAGAATAGTCTTTGGTCTGATTGAAACAGTTGATTTTTTCAGTACTGGATGATTCTGGCTTCATATCTTTCGATTTTTCTGGTGTTCAACCAGTACTTTCTGATCAGATATTGCTTGACTTTGTTATTCTTCAGTTTTTCCTCCTTCATATTTTTCAGGTTACTTGCATCTGATTGTAGATTTTTTATTTTCAACTCCAATATGACCTTCCATTTTGGTTTTCCAGTCGATTTTCTTGGAGGCTGCATTGGTTGTAGGAGCCCAAGCTCTTCTGTCACTATCACAGCTGTACTGTAGGCAAACTGGTTTGTTTGTTTAATTGATGTTATTTGGGCAGTAGAAAGTAATGTATTCACATCCTTCATGAGAGGTGCCAGGTGTCTTTTAGGCAGTCACTTTCTTACTGCATTTGATACAGCATGGGCCATGATTTTGTGCTTGAGCTCTTGTCTTGCTGTCAATGTTCCTGGTAGTTCAACAAGTGTTTCAAGTGCTGGTTCTTCAGTTTTTTTGCAAAAGCTCCACGTTTTCTTCTGGTTCAGTCTGTTCCAGAGTTGTTGTTGTTGTTGTTGTTGTTGTTGTTGTTATTATTATTATTATTATTATTATTATTATTATTATTATTCAGAGGCAGGATGGCCATCTGTTGAAGGTACTTTGATTGTGCTTTTGTGATATAGCATAAAGAAGGGGGTTGGACTGGATGATCCTTGGGGTCAACCAAAGGAGGAGGGGGGAGAAAGGCGGCATCTAGGGGCTCTCCCTTCGTGGCCATTCCGGCGATCTCCTCCTCCCCTCTCCTTCCCCATGTTGGAAGAAGGAAGGAAGAAGAGAAGGAGGGAGAGCGCAAGGAGCCCTGGTTAACTGTCTGGTTTTATATTCCTAACTACACAACAAATACAGGCAGTCCCCAAGTTATGTACAAGATAGGTTCTGTAGATTTGTTCTTAAGTTGAATTCATTTTTAAGTCAGAACAGGTTTGTTGTGAAAATAAGGATTGGTAAGAAATCTTCAGTGGAGATTCTTTCAGGAATGAACTCCCCTTCGTAGAGGTAGGTTTCTCTCATTTCCTGTTGTCTTGCCCCTGTTCTTAACCATGAGTCATTTGTAAGTCAGATGTTTGTAATTCGGGGACTGCCTGTAATTAGAAATTTTGAGTTTTTTTACTGGTTTCATAGACATTTACTCTTTCACATATTTCATTATTTTGAATTATTTAAACTGATTTATTTCTATGCCATCTTGAGATCTTTTAATATTGTGTGGGATAAACATATTAAACTAATAAAGGAATACATAAAGTATATCATGATATCAGTATTTAAACAAATAGATAAATAAAACAAGACTACCCATTCACTCTAGAAACTGTGCCAGTTTTCATGATCATTTGTCCTGGAGACAATTTTTCTCGTCCACTGCCTGTCAAAATAACCTTGTTAGTCTCTAGGGGCAGACAGACAACTGCACCACAGGGCAGCTTTTAGCTTTGTGCCCAGCAGCATCACCCGACTTTTGCTGAAAATTGCAACCAAAGGTCACTTCAGGTAATCAATTGATTGTCGGCTTGTTCATGCTTTTGAGACTGTTTTAAGCTAATGCCCAGCTCCCCAAATTCCCTAGAACCTCACAGGATTGAGCTTTCCCAGGCATTTCTCTCCTTTTGATTGGAGGAATRTGGGAGGGTTTGGGGTAATATGGTGGGGGGGGGRGAAGGGTTTTCCCATCTGTGGGTCACAGAGCATGCATACTTTCTCCACCTCTGCTCTAAGGCACAGATGACACTTTGCTCCTACATGATTCCATCTGTCTTATTTGGTTTGGAGAGTGGGAATTTTCTCCATATGTTAAGCAGGTCATATTTACATGGTATAGTTCAAGAAATGCTCTGGCTAAGAAGAGACTATTATGAGATCTCCTTAATATGTTTATTAGGCTGTGTTCTATTTCCCATTCAACCATGGAATTGTGTTGGGTATTTTTTTTGTGTGAAWTTTTTATTATTTTCTCCATACAGATAACAAAACAATACAATACGAACCTTAGCCATGTTTTATGGCTAGGATACAGGTTCCAATTGTGTTTCCCTTTACCTTATATCTTGATTAATTACCCCTTTAAACCCCCCACCCTTTAAACCCCCCCCCCATATGCATGGCCCTCAGTTTAGCCCTAAACACACTAAAGATTAGCTATATATGTTTGAGTGTACATCAGCAGAGTACACACATGAATACATATGAATAATTACAAGTGTACAGATCAACAATCTGTATGCAATGCGTTAACTTACTTCATAGGATAGAGAATTCCAAAAACATATTTATGCAATGATTTAAACAATGTACCTTTAACATATGAAGTTTTGTTAGTGCATGAGAAATACTAATTCCTAAGAGATCCTATGCCTGTACTTCAGAATTGTGGTTTTAAAATATATGACTGTGATGTTGTACTGTTGCATCATTCAGATAGATATAGATATATGAAAAGCAGGAGTGTTTTTCTTGGTTGCTAAGCTAAACAATGAATGTCGGTTTTGACAAAATTCCATAATGGTTTGCCAGTAAATTGTGACTCTGTTCCCACACAGTCACCACTGGCGCCTGATCAGTTTAAGGACTCGGTGTACAAAAATCTGCCAAACGCAAAGCGAGAGGTTTTCTCAGTTACTTCTGCTGTCCAGATTCATAGCTTGTTCTCTAATGTTTTAGATAAAAGCCCAAACCTGACAAACTTTCAGAAGAAATGCAAGATTAAAAATAAAATATGAAGAGAAATAAAATTGGAAGAGGCATCAAGTGGCCAGGGATAAATTTTAGATTGTCTTAGCTATGAGAGTGATGGTGGGCATGTTATTTTATCCATAAATAAATTAGCATGTAACTGTAGACATTCCCAGGATTTCTTTGGAACTGAAGGGAGAGGTATTGTTTTAACAAAATAAAAATGCAAAAAAAAAAAAAAAAAAGAATGTATAGGACTGGTAAAATTAATTGCTGAGATCTCAGGTGAGGTCACAGAACAGTGTTACCTCTCACACTTTCTGGGAGGGGTTAGATTTAGGCAGGGTCACTTTCTTCACCAGTGAGTAGCTCTGATCAGGATGGAGTCTGCTGCTTACTATACCTACAGGGAGCTCCCCGGGAACACTTTTATCTCTATGGTTTTCCCTTTTCTAGTTCTCAGAAGGCTTTCAAAATAGAGTGTCCTGACGGCAAGTGTTGTGGCAGCATTGGAGCCATCAGATCTCAAAGATCCTATTTTCTTTTGAGTTGGATGAAAATCTGAAACATGCTATTCAACCATTCAGCAGTACAGTAGGCCCACCACTTTCGCTGGGGTTGGGAGTACAGGACTCCTTCAAAATGGATAAACTAGAAATAGAAAAGCTGCTTTTTTAACCCGAGAGAACATTTCTCTAGGAATCACTAGGTCCACCAGGGTGACTCTATGGTCAACTTCCACTCTGGAAGACTTAGTGCTTCCTAGAGAGATCAGTTAATCAGACCCACAAATCTTACAATCCATAAAAGTTAAACTTACAAATGTGGAGAACCCAATATTTTCCATGGTATATTTAAATACATTTTAAGAAGTGAATAATTCAATAGTTGAATTTTCAGATCAGTTGAATTTTTGTCTTCCATTACAAATGTAGCATGTCGGTGTATTAAATATTCTTATTTTTTCTGTAGGGATTTGAAAGGCAAGCTTGAAAAAGAAAGCACAAAGCGAGAACTATTGTCAAATCAGTCCCACCTAAATGAGACTCACTGCATTCACTGTCTGCAACCCTTCAAATTCCTGGTGAACAGCAAACGTCAGTGCTTGGACTGCCATTTACATACATGTAAAAGTTGCAGCAGCTTCAATAAAAAGGAACAAGGTTGGGTGTGTGATCCATGTCGCTTGTCCAGGTAGGTGTGCTCAGCCAATGAATCAAAAGACTGTGTGGCCAAACTAGACACTAGAATGGGAGCCACCTTGTGTTTTTAACACATCAGGCTGGAACTCCTCATGCAATACAGGTTTCAGGTTTATTAAAATAACTCTACAAATTACATGCTGACTGTTATTCTTTCATTATTTTATGTGAATTACCAAAAGGCCTGTACTTCTATATATAAAAAATAGGAAAGAAGGATGTTATTTATTTATTTTGAATATTTATATCCTGTCCTTCTTACCACCGGAGGTGGACTCAGGGTGGCTTACAAAAGGCAACCATAAGATGCCAGCAATATACAAGTAAAATATCACAATTAAAACAGTAATTAAAACACTTGTGTAGATTCCATTTAAGACAGTCCACCAGTTCAAACTTATGCTCCTGGTCAGTCCATAGTCGGTCACTTAATCTCTTCCTAGTTGCTACATCTACTTCTGAAATGCTTGATCCCACAGCCAGGTTTTATATTTTTCACGAAAGGCCAAGAGGGAACGGGCAGAACTAATTTCATTGGGGAGGGTGTTCTACAGCTACTACGGAGAAGGCCCTGTCTCTCGTCCCCACCAGTCGAACCTGTGATGAAGGTGGAACTGAGAGCAGGGCTTCTCCGGATGATCTCAATGTCCTTGGTTGTTTGTCGAGGGAAATCCGTTTGGACAGGTAAATCTTATCTTGTAGAACCTTTTCAATTTCAGTTGTCTGTCATGAAGAGGGAGGAATGGTTATGTAACATCAGTTTAATTCAACTATTTGTTCATGGAATAAATGTTTCACAGACATTGTGACTTTGTGAGGACGCCTTATCCTGAAAGGTAGGGGGGATTTGCTCCACAGCATCTACATAACACATAGCTGATTTGGGTTAAGATGGCCTTGGACTGCATTAACAAAAGTTGTAGGTTACTCTGAATTTTCCCCAAAAATTTAGAGCAAATTGCAATTTTGTAAACAGGTCCATGTAAACAGATGGGTTTGGGCAGCCCAGGGATAGAAGAGAGCATATACCATCCCACCTCCTGTTCTCATCTTGGTCGTGGTTTCTGGATGCAACATGACTGGTGGTCATTGTTCATTTCAAGGAATGATGTTGGCCAGGATGCAAGAGTGATCGGAAAAGGGAGGGGGAAAGGAGGGGGCAGTTCCTTTTCTCCCCCGATAGCTTCTCTCTGGTACCTCAGTCGATATCACTCCAGAGAATGACATGCCTGGTGTCACAAGTGACGGCCATAAGCTATGTCATTACTGGAAGTCACCATTACGATGGGAAAAGAGGAAAGTTAGGATGGCCATCCGGGGATATCAAACTGAATATGCCCCAGAGACCCAGGGGTTAGTCATAAGGAGCCCTCCTCCCAACCTCAGCAGCAACCCGGCGGCTGAAAATAAACATCCAAAATTTGTCTGTCTGGATCAGCCCTGATAAAGTAAAGGCTTCTCTTGACATTAAGTCTAGCTGTGGCCAACTCTGGGGGGCGCTCACCTCCATTTCTAGGCTGAAGAGCCGACCTTGTCTGTAGATGCCTCCAAGGTCATGTGGCCAGCATGACTGCATGAAGCAGTACTTATTGATCCACTCACATCTGAATGTTTTTGAACTGCTAGGTTGGCAGAAGCTGGGACTAACAGCGAGAGCTCACCCTGCTTCCCAGATTCGAACCACCAAACTTTAGGTCAGCAAGTTCAGCAGCTCAGTGGTTTTAACCCACTTCTCCACCAGGCCTCCCACGCCCACCCCGACATAAAATGTCCCAGAAATTTACCCTTTACAGTATGCTCAGACAAAAGCCAACTGCTGTGGCCTCTTTTGTCTTATCTGCCCTACCTTATTCATAACATTTGCCAATTTTGACCACACTCTGAGGTTGCTTAAATTTTTTGAAAGGCATGCACACCATTTGTTCATGAAAGAATAAAGTAGCTAACAGGTACTTGGTTTTGCTTTCTCATTAAGTTCCACATGATTGAAGATTTGACCATTCATCATGATAAAGATTTTGCCATTCATCTTCCTAGGGAGATCAGACTGGCAGCTACTCTGTCCAATTTCTGCAGGGACTTAAAAACCTGGATGTTCCACTGTGCTTTTGACTAGGCAGTTCACCAGAGAATTGGCCCAATCTTACCAAAGCTCCTGCACTTTAGCCTGGCCCTCTTTCCTGTAATCCTGACATTTCAAAGCCAGTGGAGCTTTTTGCAAAACTGATTCCCCATTTTGGATCAGTACCCATTCACATTATTTCCAGCTGAGGAGATTTGGTTGCTATATCCTTTCCTTATCCTAAAATCTCTTTTGTACATCACTCATGTATACGATATTCTCAACAGAGCATCACATTGTTGGTCTTCGTGGGTTATGACTTGGTCTGGTCCAGTGGTACTTCTACCATTGAATGCTGTTGAAATGAGTAATATGTTAACAAATCCATGGAAATGTTCTTGTCTTTTTACAGGGTTGTGAAGACTGGATCTCTGGAATGGTATTATGAGCATGTGAGATCTCGTTTTAAGAGATTTGGAAGTGCTAAAGTGATGCGATCGCTCTATGGCAGGATGGCACTGAGTGGACAAAAAACGAAATCTTCCTCCCTTGGTATGGACAGGGGCTTTGGTAGGATCTTCTCAATCTTGTAGAGTTCTCTGATGATTCTGCATAATACTGGATGCTGATTTAACTGTCAGAACACATCACAATCATCATCTCTGACTGAAGTCTATTCCCACATATTTGGAATTAGTGATGTGGCTCCCAACCCAGAGAGTGGTTTTCCAGCTGGCCCGCTTCCCAATGCTTGGGCTCTTAGGAATTAATCACCACCGTTGAGTGGTTTGGAAAAACTGCAATGAGCTGTTTGCCCTTTTTATTAAGACTAAAATTAGAGGTTACCTCCTAAAAGTAAACGGCTGTCATTTAAAGTTTAATATAATGTTAATGTATCCACAATTTTGATGACTGGAACATTGGTTGCAACTGCTAGTAGCAATTAGTTTCTTATATCTTGTAAGGACATCATTGACACATTAACTATTTAGATTTGACTATCATTTTCTATATCTGAAGAAAGAATATTGGTTGTTGTTATTGTAATAATAATAATAATAATAATAATAATAATAATAATAACTAGCTTGGGTACCTGGCAGCGCTCAGGTTATTTGAAAAAAGCATTGTTTGTTTTGGGGTGTTTGGTAATATCATTTAGTTAATTAGTAACACTATTTATTAGAAAAATTCAGTCTTTGATATCATTGTTTGTGAATACTCCCATTAGAAGATACATAATGATGTGGGTGAACAACAACAACAACAAAACTTTATTTATATACCACTCTATCTCCCCGAGGGGACTCAGAGCGGTTTCCAAGTAACATCATCAATACATACAGAGTAAACAACATAAACATAAAATTAACAAAGCAATAAAAGCATAAAAATCACAATAGCACATATATATTTAAAATAATCCTGCCTGTTCAGGCAATTAAAAAAGGCCAGGCCGAGGCAAATGCAATTTCTAGGGAGTCCGAGAAATTAGGTGCAATGCTATAGAAGGCTACAACAATAATAGGTATAGTCTATGGCTGTTCATTTCCGGGGCCTAATAGGAAGGAGGTGACCTGGGTAATTGATAGAAAAAGATATAGCCATATTCAACAATATCTTGGGGTTTTACATATTTTTTTAGTGATTCAAAAATATGAACACCTTTGTTCTCCACAATAATGGGACGAAAGGAGTGAACTGGGCATTAGGGATAAGAATTCGTTTCCATCATTGAATTTTTATCTCTCCCAACAACTATTGTCTCTCACTTGTAAGATTCCTCAGATACACGTTTATTATTCAGTCAGACCAGGATGAAAACGAAGTTAGATCTGAGGCTTTTCCCACCAAAGAGGTGGGAGTATGCCCACTCCTGTTGCACCCCTCCTTCCTCCCCCTCTCATCCTAGGTTATGGCTACATTCCTTTCCCAAGGAACAAAGCATTTCTCTCCGGCCAGATGGCCCCTTATCAAGTCATAATTCACTTCAATGTCAGGAAGGAGGATTCAGCTTATGTTGACTTAGCTCGAAGACCACATCCTGACATGGGGGTCGGGCAGAAAGGCTGCCCAAATGGCAATGTCGTGAGGGCAGCCCTCTGCCTCCCCACTGCGCCCTTCCCAGCTGGGAAAGGCACGGGGGTGGGGCAGAGAGGCTGCCCAAATGGCAGTGCCATGAGGGCAGCCCTCTGCCTCCCCCCTGTGCCCTTCCCAGCTGGAAAAGGCATGGCGCGGGGGGCAGAACAAATAAGGATAAAGGATAGCGGTGTTAACGAAACAGGCGCACAGAGGAAGCTAAAAATCAGGCAACGATGATCTGCAACGCGAGCAATACCCGAGAGGGCAGCCCTCTGCCTCCCCCCTGTGCCCTTCCCAGCTGGAAAAGGCATGGGGGGGGGGGGGGGCAGAAAGGCTGCACAAATGGCAGCACCTTGAGGGCAGCCCTCTGCCTCCCCCCTGCACCCTTCCCAGCTGGGAAAGGCGCAGGGTGGGGCAGAAAGGCTGCCCAAATGGCAGCGCCGTGAGGGCAGCCCTCTGCCTCCCCCCCCCGTGCCCTTCCTGGATGGGAAAGGCTGCCCAAATGGCGGGGCTGTGAGGGCAGCCCCTTGCCTGGCCCCTGTACTCTGCTGTAACGGCAAGGTGAACCCTCTTCCCGTGCGTGCCTTTTCCTGCATGGTCCTCCTCTTGGCACCACACAGCCCTGTGGGAAGAGCAGGAGGAGGAGGGAAGAGCAGGAAGAGGAGCTGATCCAGAGGGGGGTCGGCAGCCATTTTGGAGGGGGCGGGGCCATCCAAGGCACCTTCGCGACCCCCCGAAAATGGCCCAACGACCCCCCTGCTGTCGACCCCAGGTTGAGAACCGCTGATCTAAATGGACCTCTCTGGTAAATTTGGTTTCTCTCTCTCTCTCTTAAAGATTGTAGCTTGCATTGTCCTTTTTGTAAGCAAGACTGCTATCAAAGCTACCTGTTTAGCACTTTTGTGAACTGTTGCACAGACATTTGGGAAGCATTAGTCATGAAAATTATCCTCCTCCCACTTAAAAGTTCTTTGGGTCTAATCCAATATTATCAATTCTAGTTGGAACATACTTACTTCCTCTGGCTTGCCTGGAACACAATGACCTTCAGCATCTCTCAAAGAAGCATTCCCCAGTAATGTCCAAAGATTTTTGTTGGTTACACCATCTGTTTGTGGTTATTGTGCTGTTTTCTTGGTTTGTCTCCATTTTTAAATTGCATCTGTTAGATACCCACACAGCAGGATACCTCTTTACAGCTTTGGGGAGCCACTGTGTAATGAAAACTTTTGGCCAGCTTAACAGCACGAATGCATAGCTTGCCTTACCAAATACGTTCCTGTAGCCCGTACTGTAGTGCAATTGTGCAGAAATTCTAAATGCATAAAATAAGTGATGCCCCAAAGTTAGACAGAACTTTTATGAGAACCAAGCAAAATGACACAGAGTACCAGTTCAAGCAAGAAAGCAGGATGTGAGAAAGAGGGACAGAAAATATGGAATTATAGCTGTATATTCTGCATTTAGATTCTGTCTCAGGATGGAGATTTCAACTTTACTGAATAGTCTTTGCTGGATGCTGCAGATGTCGTGTTATAGTTTGGAATCATGTATCCTCTAGATGTAGGACTCTCCAGCTCACAGCATTTATTTATTTATTTACTTACTATATTTGTATACTGCCCTTCTCAGCCCTTAGGCAACTCAGGGTGGTTTACAATGACAATGATTCAATGCCCCAAAGCACCATAAAACATTCAAAAACATTAACACGTAATATAAAACCATAACAAGAATACTAAAAGCATACATCATTTGATTTTCCTAATAAAAACATTGTCCCGTCTCATTGTCCAGTTGTTCTAGTTCCTATGTCTTTTACCTTGCATTTTCAAACGCTTGCTCAAACAACCAAGTCTTGAATCTCTTCCAAAATGTTAAGAGGGAGGGGGCTGATATAATGTCCCCAGGAAGAACATTCCATAGCCGAGGGGCCACCACTAAGAAGGCCCTGTCTCTCTTCCCCACCAAACATGTTTGTGACACAGACGGGATCGAGAGCAGGGCCTCCCCGGACGATCTTAAAGTCCTAGCAGGTTCATAAGGGAAGATGCGTTCAGACAGGTAAGTTGGGCCAGAACAGTTTAGGGCTTTATAGGTTAAAGCCAGCACTTTGAATTGTGCCCAGTAACAGACTGGCAGCCAGTGGAGCTGGTGCAGGAGAGGATTTGTATGCTCCCTGAGTGTCGCTCCTGTTAGTAATCTGGCTGCCTTCTATTGGACCATTTGAAGCATTCTTCATTACTAGGGCTGGGCGATTTCGTTCTTTAATTTCGTAATTCGTTATTAATTCATATTTAAATTAGCTTACGATCCAATATTGAGCCATGCAGGAATAGTGTGAGGAGTATTTAAGATTCGAAACAATTTTTTCAATTTATTTCGTAATTATTTTGTAATTATTTTGAAATTATTTCTTCGTTATTATTTCGTTATTATTTCCGTATGTCTGGTGCAAGTTTTATAGTCGTTGTTTGTTTTATCAGTGATAAAAAAAAATTATCACACCAACAGTCAACAACAGAGGGAGAGGGAAGCTTCAGAAGTTCCCCCTGTCCCATTTGGAGGGTTTTTTTTAGCATATTGCGCAATCGCGTCCGCCATTAACGAATCAATTTGAAATTAATGAAATTTCGTAAATAACGAAATTTTGAAATCTCAAAATTTCGGAAGTATTTAGAATTTGGAAATGCTAGCGCCCCCTGGAAACGAATCGAGTTTAGAAACAAATTATTCCGTGGTTACCCAGCCCTATTCATTACTAGTGTGCTAGCTGGGCCTGAAGGGCATTGCTGTCCAACAACAGCGAGACTGCACGATTCCCTGGTTTGCATATAGGATTGGAATAGGAGAAACAGCTAGTAGACTTCCAGCAGTCAACTATCGTAGAAATAGGATCCTAAGCTAGGTAGGCTGTGATTCTATGATTCTAGGTCTTTGATGCCATCCAGAAACTGGTCTTCATCAACCGCTTCATAAGACCTCTGTTTCTGAAAACAATGGTGAAACCATTTTTAAAACCTACAGTGGCAACAGAAATTATATGTTGGATGAGAATATGATGTCTTGGAAAGAATCCTCTCTGTGCACTCACCTTTCCTCAAGTCTGCTTAAGAGCCAAATGGCAAAATAATACCTGACCAATAGATGGCAGCATTAGGCAGGTTTGTAGATTTCTAAGGGAAAGGAAGCTGCTGTTTCTGGACTCTTCCACACAGCCCTCTCTCCCAGAATATCAAGGCAGAAAATCCCACATTATCTGAGTATGGACTCAGATAACCCAGTTCAAAGCAGATATTGTGGAATTTTCTGCCTTGATATTCTGGGATATAGGGCTGTGTGGAAGGGCACACTGCCATATAATCCAGTTTAATGTGGATTTTATACGGTTGTGTGAAGGGGCCTAAGGCATTTTACTCTTTCTGGAAAAGATTGGATTGGAAATTTTTGGGTTAGTGACTACAAACCAGATATTGTTAAGGAAGATGCATCTATAGATCTCTTGTTCTTTCAGAGTAGAATTAGGACTACTGGTGAACATTTCAAGTTCCATCCTCCACTGTCACCCCCTTTAATTACTTCATAGGACTTGAGCTGCTGTCACATGCATAAATAGACTTATAATGATATTACTTATTTATCGTGTCAGGAATAGACCAAACAGTTGTGTTGCATATTTTAACAAACAAACAAACAAACAAAAACACAAAGTTTGCAAGCTTGGTAGTTGATTAAATGTCCTTTGACCAGTATCTGGCCACTTGGAGTGCCTCTGGTGTTGCTGCAAGAAGGTCCTCCATTGTGCATGTAGCAGGGCTCAGGTTGCATTGCAGCAGGTGGTCAGTGGTTTGCTCTTCTCCACACTCGCATGTCGTGGATTCCACTTTGTAGCCCCATTTCTTAAGATTGGCTCTGCATCTCGTGGTGCCAGAGCGCAGTCTGTTCAGCACTTTCCAAGTTGCCCAGTTTTCTGTGTGCCCAGGGGGAGAGTCTCTCATTTGGTATCAACCATTGATTGGGGTTCTGGATTTGAGCCTGCCACTTTTGGATTCTCGCTTGCTGAAGTGTTCCAGCAAGTGTCTTTATAGATCTTAGAAAACTATTTCTTGATGTAAGTTGTTGGCTTGCTGGCTGATACCCAAACAGGGGGTGGGCCAGAGATGTCACTGCCTTGGTCCTTTCACTATTGGTTGCTACTTCCCGGCAGATGTCAGGTGGTGCAATACCGGCTAAACAGTGTAATTTCTCCAGTGGTGTAGGGTGCAGACACCCCGTGATAATGCGGCATGTCTCATTAAGAGCCACATCCACTGTTTTAGTGTGGTGAGATGTGTTCCACACTGGGCATGCATACTCAGCAGCAGAGTAGCATAGCGCAAGGGCAGATGTCTTCACTGTGTCTGGTTGTGATCCCCAGGTTGTGCCAGTCAGCTTTCGTATGATATTATACTTATAATGATAAACACAAGACTTTGCCAGAGTTGCCACGCACACAGAAGGCATGCACAAAGTTTGAACAAAGTGGGTAACTACTGCTTCTGCATGTTCAGACAAATATATTTGTCTAAAATTACAGACTTTTAAAGTTTTATCCTTAATATGTATGTACACACAAATCAAAGAAGAAAAACAGCTTGGTTGTAATATCAGTCCTCTAAGCACATGGCCTTGTATAGTTCTGTCTTTAACATACAGGAACTAGCATTTGTCAAAGGAAGAAGTAGAAGAATGGGCACGGTATCTGCTGAGGTTTGGCACTCTGTGTATATCAAAATCCATAGGTGCTCAACTCCCATTATAATCAATATCATAGTGAAATGGTGTCTTTTATATAAAATTACCAGACAGATAGGAAGCTATGCCTAAAGAAAACAGAGGTGACAATGGGGTCCTTCAGGCAGGAGGGTGAGTGGGTGCATGGGTGGATGGAAAAATGGATAAATGTGTAGGAGTGGAAAGGAAAAGAAACAGAGCGTAGGTGCATAAAATTACTTGGCTTCAGCTTCCGAATGAGTTAACTTCCTTCTTGGCCACATGCAGTTGGAAAAATGTTATGATCACCCAGCTTTGGAATACAGATCAAAATGCGACTGAGGTCTCAGTCTGATGAGGCGCTCTTGGGGCTCAGTTATCAGCAGAGAGTTTATGGCTGATATTTTCAAATACAGTTGGATTCTTGTACTTAGGGTACTTGTAGTGAGGATAAGGATGATAAATGGAGGCTTAGCTGTTCCTAAAATCTTGAAGAGGTGGTTTAAAATGATCCTTGGCAACAGCTTTCCAGTCCTCTAGGTTTCCTGCTTGACCGCTATGTTTCCTGCTTGATGGCTATCATAGAACTCAGAATTTACATGGATTTTGGCCATGCAAGACAAGAAAAATGGATATAAGGAGCTCATGGTATGTTATTATGTATGAAACCTTCCTTTGGGTTCAGTGGGAGTTTTACAAGGGAGTGACTATTTTCCTCTGCAAACAAAGGCCTTCTGATCTCCAGGAAAACGAAGCAGCAAGATAAATTACAGAAAAAAGCACAGTATATGGGTACTGTAGCCACTGAAACATGAAATGGGCAACAGGCTGGAGTAGAAAATCACGTTCGGAAAGAATTACAAGGAACAGACTTGGAAACTGTGTGGACTGCAGGTTATTTTTGGATTTTCACGAAGACTGACAAATGTGAGGGACGCCCAAGAAGTAAGAACAATGTGTTCTCAGACCAAAGGCAGTTACAGGCTTCTCAAAAAGTACAGAAGACTCAGTGGAACTGGATAGAATTAGGACAGGAAAAATGGAATCAAAAATTTGGCTTTGGAGACAAAATAACTTCAAGGAGGATCCTTGCTGTGTTACCAAGTTAAAACTTTCTGGCTGTACAGACCAAATTATAATTAATTACCAAATGTCTGAAACAGATGGTATTCCCACTATGGGAATACTTCAGAATTAGACCATATTTCTGCCAAGGCTCTGTATTGGCTGATTGGTTACTTAGCTTTACCTGTTTCATTAGTTTTGTGGAAGTGTCTCCCTTTAATTTTGTCAGTGAAAAATATCCACTTTTAACTGCTGCGGCTCCTTTCTGACCATTCAGGGCATTCTTATTCTTGATACCTTTCAATGCTTCTAGTTCTCTTACAGTGTCTAGGACAAAAAGACTTACTCTGACATTCCCAGAGAGGTACTATTGTGCTGGGTCTTTAAGGTCTGCCATCACTCCAGGCAGCCACATGGAGCAAGCTCAGGAGGAAGTGTCACCATGCCAGTGCCATTGCAAGACTTCTTTAGATCCTGACAAATTTTAAAGTTTTAGGTAGCTTACAGAGCACTCTTTGATTCTGGCTTATTTAAAGCTAGATTTCATGTAAAATAAGCAAGATTCGTTGACAGTTTCAAAAATATTCTATTGCAATTCATAATATGTTCATTAATACAGCTGGATTCATACAAAATTGAAATAATCACCATATGAATGTGTAGGTAATTCACCCTGAGTTCCATACCCTGTTCTGGCCTGGGCAACATTATCTGCCTGTTGTTTATACAGTAGTGTTAGTAATGACCAGTTGGATAGTAGACCATACCATGATGCATGTTTAATCTTTCAAGGTGAAACTGTGGTGGTGCTAATGGTCATTCCATAATAAGGTTGTTGCTGTATTGATAGCAAAATATATTAGAGGAGAAACCTACTTAAGAAACTAATCAAATAAAGCTGTGACAGACAAAGTCCTTAACACATTGGGTTACCCATCAGTCTGTCTTCTGCCATGTATCCAGCTGACTTTTGAAATCTTTGTTGGAGGCTTTATAGGTTGACCCACAATTGTTAGAATGATGCCCTTCTTTGTTATAAAAACAGGCTTTTTCCATGGTTGCAAACACTCTTTTGAACACTGTCTTACATGTAGCTGTGTTGACTCTTAACCACTCACGCAGGCCTTTCCTGGCCAATAACTGATACAGGTTAATCATCCCCTATCCAGAAATCCAAAATACTCCAAAATTGTGCACATGACTAACTAGGATACTGATGCCTTTGCTTTCTGATAGTGTGATGTACACAGACTTTGTTTCATGCACAAAATTACTACAAATATGGTGTATAAAATGATGTTCACACTATATGAAATATTCATGAATTACATGTTTAGAATTGGGTTCCATGTCCAAGATACCTTCTTATTTGCATATAGGCAAATATAGGTATTCCAAAGTATTAAAAAGTCTGAAATTTAAAACACATCTGGCCCCACACATTTTAGATAAGGAATGCTCAAACTGTGTTGTCCTTGGTCTACTTGCATAGTGGCTGTTTTGAAATTAAATACTTAAAATGATACTTAAAATGTATTATATCAAGTAAAATCAAAAATATAAATAAATACAATAAATAAGTAGCTTAACTTGATTAATTTTACTCACAAACTGTTTCTTATTCTAGGTCTTCATGACAGAGTATATAGTTTGCCAGACATCAACAGTAAGTTGTCTTTTTATCAACTTATCCAACTTATCTATCCGAACGTATCTCGGCCTATCAGCCCACCAGGACCCTAAGGTCTTCTGGGGAGTCCCTGCTCTCTATCCCGCCTGCTTCACATGTGCGGCTGGCGGGAACGAGAGACAGGGCCTTTTCTGTGGTGGCCCCTCGGCTTTGGAACACCCTCCCCATAGAGGTACGATCAGCCCCCTCGCTGATGGTGTTTCGAAAAGATTGAAGACATGGATGTTCAAACAAGCATTCGGTTAATCCGGTGCAATGAATTTGATGATCAAAGGACTGGTAATCACAGACGACGAAATTGGATTGCGATTTTAGTTAAGAGATGCATTGGATTGTTATTGGTGGCCCAATACTGTGTACTGTGTATGTGTTTTTTATGCTTTTTAAATTGAATATTGTTGATTGTTGTAGTGTTGTAAACCGCGTTGAGTCGCCAATTTAGGCTGAGAAACGGCGGTATACAAGCACAGTAATAAATAAATAAATAATTTTTTAAAACAATAACAATAAACACTGTAGAATGTATGAGCTGTGTGAAACAGTCTTTTGAGTTCTGGGCCCCATTTATTTGATCTCAATCCACCATTCCAGACTCCTGATTGGACCCAACAGGAATACACACAGAGACCCCCTTGGCTACAGTGAGAGGGAGTCCTCACTTCCCAGAGGTGGTGAAGACAGTTTGACACCACTGGGCAGGCAACCTAAATGTGCTGCCTTCTGTGTCATGGCAGCACCTTCAATTTTCCCATTGCTCACTCTGATGTTGGGGAGGGGAGAGAGAACATCTCCATCCCCTTACCACTCCCACCTTCCAGTTCCCCACATTACTCTAGCAGACATCAGAGGAAGTGATGTGGAAGAGGTAGGTGCTGTGTCATGGCAAGGCAATGCCACAACATTTGGGGCCAGGAGAGACAAGGTACTTTAGGATGGCAGTGAGGACACTTGTAGCCAAGTGACTTGTCCAAGATACACCGTGAAGAAACCAATCAAGTCTAGAATGGTGATTTTTTTTCTTTTTCTTTGACTGGGCTCTAGTTTAATCTGTCTGCCCCTGCAACAAGTTGTTTTGCCCAGTATATTTTCATCCTTAGGACCACTAACAAATATGTTCATGCAAACATTCTGTGTTTTTTCTCATAACAACTTGGGATAGGAAGACCCAAAATAAGAAAAATAATTGAAAATAATCATTTATAATTTCATCTAGTAAAACTGTGAAAAAACTAACTATGTGAGCATTTATTTCTTTAATTTTACTTTGGTGCCTTGAAAACTCCCACTGCTATTTTCCTTCTATAATTACTTTCATTTTGTTCCTGACTTCTGCTTCCTGGCCATACCTCATAGGTATGGGTGTATGATACATGTAGGGATGGGAATAATATTTACTGTTAAACAGCTTTTTTCCATTTGAAATAAATGGGCTTCCACTTGGGAAACCTAGTCAGGAATTAACACAAAGGTGAGAATTTTGCACGACTTTTGGACACATTGCAGAGCATTTTAGGAAATTGTTTGGAACAAAAATATATGAGTGGAGGATTGTACAAAATCATGGATTTTGTGTAGATAAATGTTTTTCTTTCAGCCTCCTCACCTTCATTTCCAGAAACACATTTTTGGTGTGACATTAGTATGTTTTGTATACGTAAAAATCTTTGGTTCATTAAAAAATGTTAAAACATATTTTCCACACTAAAACCATGTTTGAACAAAAAACCCTTTTTTCAGAAACACACCTGTTTTGCACAGGCACCACAAAAATCAACAAAACTAAACCATGTCATTCTGAAAAGGAAAGGGTTGCATAAAATTTGGCTATTTTGCTTCAAACCCATAATTTTCAAACAAGAAAACACACATATATTTCTGCAGAGATTCATTTTTTAAAAACTTTTTGAGATAGCAAATTCAGGGCAAAAACTGAACATAAATATTTGTCCACCTCACAGCAAGAGAAAACTAAATTTTATTGTTTTAATCCTTGCATACAATGATGGAATAGAAATGCAGATTGGGGTATATTAGTCATTCATCAGCGCATGTGTCTTTCAGATGACTGCCATCTCTACCATGAAGAAGAAGACAGTGGGGCTGATGAGGCCAATGATGTCCTAGATAGTGCAGAAGCTGAGCGCTATGCTAGAGTAAGCATGCTGACCAAAGGCTTTTTTCCTTCTATATATTAATGATGCGTCTATACAGTTAGCCCTCCACATTTGCAGTAGTCAAGCTAGCTAAGGACAAGTTCACAAATAATCCAAAACATGAAAGTAAAAGCCACAAAAGCGGAGGGCCAATTGATAGGTTGATAAATGTAATACATATTATTGAATCATTCTGGGTTACAATACTGTACTTTTTCTCTATAGTACCTCATCACACTAGAGAAGAAATCCACTTAAAATCTGGTTTCTGCCTCCTGCAGAATTCTGGAGTTTATAGTTTAGGGAGGAGCCTTTAATAGCCTCACTAAACTATAAACCCTAGAATTCTGCAGGAGGCAGAAACCAGATTCTAAGTGGATTTTTTGTCTAGTGTGATGAAGTCTGCAAAGTGATATTCTATTGTATGTTGATTTTGGATATAAATCTTGTTTTTTCTTTGTGGCCTCTGTAAATGCCCACATGTGGAGTGTCTGCACCTGCGCAGGCTCCAACGGAAAACTTCCCAAGTTCAAACTCCAAGTTTTGGCAGTAACCCCGCCCAGCCACCCTAGCGGGCATAAAAGGCACACGTTCTGCAGTTCCTGCTTTTCCATCGCAAAGCTCATTTCGGAAACTTCTCTTTGTGATGTCTACTACTCGATGTAAACACTGTGTTCAGTGTTCGAAGAAATTACGTGACTCCAAGTGCTTGCTTTGCCTTGGTGAAGCACACAACACTTTGACCTACCGTCAATCTAGAAAGAACAGGGCTGCCCGTCTTAAGGTACTTCTTTACAAGCAAACTCTAGCTCCCCCGGTGCAGCCCTCGGCTTCAGTGCCTTCTACTTCAGCGCCATCGACATCTCAACTTTCCTCTTTGGCTCCTTCGAAACCGTCGGCGAAGCCTCTCTTGGGGACAGGTCATTCCCCTTTCTCCTCGGCCAGACCTCCTGTCGAGGGACAACGGTGTCCTGTTCCATCTGGACGTTCCGTCCCTCCATCTCACCTTTTAGCCACTCTTCACCCCGATGTCCAATTAATTCTGAAGGCAGCTCATAAGCTGGCGACTTCTAAGTGTTGTTTGTCCCATTTTCAAGCTTTCCTCCAAGATCGAGGCGAACCCACCATGCCGCCCTCAATATCAATGATCCTTGACTCCCTCCTGTTGCTTTCGAGCCAGAACTTGAGTCTCGCCTCCTTGAAGTCCTATCTTGCTGCAATTTCCTGGTACCTCCAGAAGCCTGGCAGCCCATCTCTATTCCAAGACCATCTTATAAGGACGTTCCTTAGGGGGTTGGAGTCTCGACCTTGTCCTGGAATGTCTGGTGGGTCCACCCTTCAAACCTTTGGCCACAATGGATCTTCGGCTCCTCTCCTGGATGGTCACCTTCCTTGTGGCGATCACATCGGCTCAATGGCCGTCCGAACTTGCTGCGCTTTGGGTCAATAAGCTGACCGTGCAGTTCATGCTGACCGTGCGGTTCTACAGACTGACATCACCTTTCTGAAGGTGGTCTCACCTTTCCATATTAATGAAGAGATCATCCTTCCATCTTTCTTTCGAAATCCATCATCGCTGGCAGAGAAGAAACTTCATCTTCTCGATGTTTGTCGAGCTCTTCTTTTTTATAGGGACAGGACTTGTCCATCCCATAAAACCAAATCATAATATATGAACAATAACATATAAATATGAGTTAAAATCATTAAGACCATTAAACATAAGACATAATTGACATAAGCTAAGAAAGAGGCCAGCAAGTGAGAGAACAGGGGTACCACTAATTAATATAGGCAATTATTGTTTGTACTTTATTGCTTGCCACAACATGAGCAACATAAGCAAATGTTAAATTCTGAACCATAAGTCTACTGCTCCCATTTGTTTCGGTTCTTGTGTGTGCTGGGAGCTCAATTATTATCATCATCTTGTTTGTATATTTTCAATGTAAATGTACATAGACTATTTCTTAGCTGTTATAGTGGTTCATGGATGAGAAAGACAGTATCTAACAATGCCATATTTTTGGAAAACTTTCTAAAAACATTTGCAGCCAGTTGTAATTATAATGAAATCTGGATGCTTTTTTTTTTTTTTTGCATTCTCTGTGCTTTCTAAGATGCGCAGGACAAAGCGTCTGCTGTCTGTCCATCCCTTTGATTTTGAACTGGACTCAGAATATTCTGCTCAATCACGCCGTCAATCTATGCAGCTCTCTCCAGGCTCTGGGAACGAAGGCCTTGAGGTACTGATGGTGGTGCTTTCTTCTGCATCTTTATTTAAACCTTCATGCATCTTCTATTTCCTTTCCTTTTTCTTTTCAGAGCTTGGCATTTGCTATATTACTTAGTTGCACAAGAATGGGTTGTTGTGAGTTTTCCAGTCTGTATGGCCATGCTCCAGAAGCATTGTCTCTTGCATCTATGGAAGGCATCCCCAGAGGTTGTGAAGTCTCTGAGGATTCTACCATAGATACAGGCAAAATGTCAGGAGAGAATGCTTCTGGAACATGGCCATACAGCCTGAAAAACTCACAACAGCCCAGTGATTCCAGCCATGAAAGCCTTGAACAATACATTGCACAAGAATGTCTGTCCCTCCATGAATATATTAACAAAAGCTAAGAAGAGGTCAGCAAGTGAGAGAACGGTGGGTATCACTAATTAATATAGACAATTATTGTTTGTACCTTATTGCTTGCTGCCTTTTTCTCAATTTATTCTATTTGACTTGTGGATAACACTGCACCAGTTATACATCAACATTTCACTGTAAACAGTGAAAAAAACCTTCAAATGTGTTAAATCTTCAGAGGTCAATCTAAATCAAAATTGTGTGCAGGGACTGATGAATCTGGAAGTTTCAGTATTTCTTACTGTGCGGAATTAGTGCAGTTTGACCCCAGTTTAAGTTATTTGGATCAGTGCTATGGAATACTGGGAATTGTAATCTTACAAGGGCTGGTTCCTCTCCAAACTAGAAATCCAGCCCCTTCTACACTGCCATATAATCCAGGTTATCAAATCAGATAATCCACACTATCTACTTTTAACTGGATTATATACGTCTACACTGCCATATAATCCCATTCAAAGCAGAGAATCTGGATTTTATATAACAGTGTAGAAGGGGACTCCCAGGATTCTGTAGCACTGAGCTATGGCAGTTAAAGTGTGGTCAAACTTTATTAATTCTACAGGGCAGATTAATCCTTCGTTTCTCATTTTTTCCTTTCTTGAATTGATTTCTTCCTTTTTTGCATCAGTTTGCATTTTTTTAAAAAAATGAAACAAAATGTCTACAAGTTGAAATTTTCATACGCAGTTTGGCCTAATATATCCATTTCAAAGTTTTTTTCTATAACGCAATGCATTTTTGTATGTTATTTTCATTAATATGAGTATTTTATGTGGATGTTTTTTTAAAAGCACATACTGTACACAATTTTGATGGGAGAAAATATTGGTGGAGACTAGATATATCTAACCTTTTGTTTTTCTATTTACATATTTGTTGAGGAAGCTCAAATTTGTAAACCAACCCGTTCCCTATCTCATCGCTAATGTCAACAAATAATGGCTGTAATGCCAGTGCCCTCCTGCAAAATTTAACAATCATGACATAAGAAGCTCAATGTCTATCAAGTGTGTTTATATTATTTAACGTGTATTTAACATGGTTGCAATCATGCAGTGTGAAAAAACATGATGTTCCACTTTTTATTTACTTTTCTACAAATGTTTAAAATAAAATTCACTCTAGAAAAAATTATTCATGAGTCTTGAAAGCTATTGGTACTTTTGTATTGTCAAAGGCTGGCATCACTGGGATGCTCTGTAGTTTCCTGGCTATATGGTTTTGTTCTAGCAGCATTTTCTCCTGACGTTTCACCTGCATCTGTGGCCAACATCTTGGTACTTTTGTACATTCATTAAAAAGTCTGTGGATATTTTTATGAAGAGTTAATGGACCATTTTCTTACCAATGCTGACATATCGTCTCTCTTCTTAGACTTTTGAAGAATTTCCAGGTGCTGAGGAAGAGGCAACACAGAAGGAGTCAATGGTTGCTGAAGCCGACTTAGCTGCTATGTTCCACCACATCTTGCAGGAACAGGGGCAGAAGACATCTGCACCTGAGCAGGAATTCACCACAGAGGTCCGATTTACAGTGAACTCCCATACTAAAAATCTGGAAAGGACCTCCAAGGCTGGTAGGTTACCCTGGCCTGACTACAGTTCATATTTAGCAAAACACTTGAAGAAATATAATATAATAACAACTTTATTTTTGTACCCTGCCTCCATCTCCCCAGAGGGACTTGGGTCGGCTTACAGGGGGGCAAGCCCGAAAAATACAGATTTAAACAAACACAATAAAATAAGATCAACACATCAGAAAAAATGTATCGCAATCACAAACAAACATTATAAAACAATATCATGGCTGAACAATTAGATGCTGAATTTGGAGGACTCAGAGTATATGCAGTGGTTCCTAAATAGAGCTGAGGGAAACTGCAAAATTCAGTTCAAAATTCAATAAGGCCCAGCTGGGTAGGTAATGTCCTTAGCCATTTAAAGTGTCAGGATTACAGGAAGGAGGGCCAAACTAAAGTGCAGGAGCTTTGGTGAGATCAAACCTGCACAACAGAACACTTTCATCTGTATTTGCTCAGAATAATTTATTTTAACTTTATATTTTATCTTAAATGTTAGATTTTAATTTTTATGTTACATTTTATTTTATTTTATGCCACATTTCTCCCAGAGTGGGACCTCAGGTGGCTTCCAAAAACAGTGCATTAAAACATGTAACACACAATGTCAAAACAATTAAAATTACAATGATACCTTGAGTTAAGAGTTTACTTCGTTCTGTGACCAAGCTCTTAATTCAAATCACTCTTATCTCAATGTGAATTTCCCATTGAAATGCTATTAATCCATTCTGCCCCCAACTCCCCCTTCAATTTTAGTTACATATTTTAAAATAAGGAAATGTATTTTATAAATAACAAATAATGTAGAAGGGATAGGACTAAGATTAGGCTGGCACTCATACATATGGTATGAAAAGGTAAAAACGGAAAAAAAATTGGGAACCATTTTATCCGATCCTCTTCGATCAGAGTATAGGAAAGATATAAAGATAGTTTCCACAAGAAGACACCAATATGGTTATCCCCACTTGAAGCCTCTCAAAGGAGAATAACAGGTTGGAATGAATGGCCAAAATATAAAGACATACTAAAAAAAGAAAGGGGAGAATTTAAGATAAAAACCCAACAGGAATTAAAAGATATAAATAGTAGGATCTCTTGGTATCATAGAATCATAGAATCATTGAGTTGGAAGAGACCTCGCGGGCCATCCAGCCCCTGCCAAGAAGCAGTACGGGCAGATTAAAGAACATTTCAAAAAAGACAAAGAAAAAGGATTTGAAGACGGGAAAAATTTTTGGGACAAAATAATGCAAACAGAGAATAAACTGATTTCCAAAATATATATTAAAAAACTTCTAAAAGAAGCAGGAAGCAATGAAGAGGGAAAAGCTTTTATGAAAAAATGGAAAGATTATTTAGGAAAAGAGATTAAAAAAGAGGAATGGGAATAGATATGGAATAAGAAACTAAAATACTCAAAAGCAATGGAATTGAAAGAAAACTGGATCAAAATGGCCCACAGATGGTACATAGACTAGGAAAATTCTACAAAAATACAAATACAAAATGCTGTAAATGTGGAGAACAGGAAGGGACATACTACCATCTTTGGTGGACATGCACGAAAGCAATAACCTATTGGAAGAAGATCCAGAAAACACTACAAGAAATATTGGAAGTAGACATCTCTCGAAAACCAGAAACCTTCCTATTGGAAATACACAATATGAAAATTGACAAAAAAAAAAAGATAAAATATTATTCCTATTAACAACAGCAGCCAGAATAATCTATGCAAAATATTGGAAAAAAGAAGAACCCCCAGAAGAAGAGGAATGGCTGACAAAAAATTTAGATATAAGAAACATGGATAAATTGATCTATATATTATCAAAAAAAAGGGCACTCCAAAGGCAGAAACAGATTGGAAATAAGTTACAACATACTTAGTAAAAGAAAAGAATATGAAAATAATTATAGGACAAGTGCAAAGAAGCCAGAATGGATGTCCAAAGAACTTCTAACTGTGCTAAGACACAAAAGAGCCATGCACAAGAAGTGGAAAAAGGGAGAAATCACCAAAGAAGAATTCAAACAAATAGCCAACCCCTGTAGGGAAAAGGTTTGCAAGGCTAAAGCGCAAAACTAGCTCAGGCTTGCCAGGGACATTAAAAACAATAAAAAGGGGTTCTTTTCTTATGTCAGTAGAAAAAGGAAAAACAAGGAGGCGATAGGGCCTCTTCGAGGAGAAGATGGGGCAATGCTGACAGGGGATAGGGAAAAGGCAGAACTACTTAATGCCTTCTTTGCCTCGGTCTTCTCACAAAAAGAAAGTCATCTTCAACCTCAGCAAGATGGAGTGGATGAGGGATTAGAGGACATCCAACCCCAAATTGGGAAACAAGTCATCCAGGAATACCTGGCCGCTCTAAATGAGTTCAAGTCCCCAGGGCCAGATCAACTACACCCCAGAGTATTGAAGGAACTAGCGGAAGTCATTTCGGAACCATTGGCAACCATCTTTGAGAATTCTTGGAGAACGGGAGAAGTTCCAGCAGATTGGAGGAGGGCCAATGTGGTCCCAATCTTCAAGAAGGGAAAAAAGGATGACCCAAACAACTACCGTCCGGTCAGCCTCACGTCGATACCGGGCAAGATTCTGGAAAAGATTGTTAAGGAAGTGGTCTGCAAACACTTAGAAACAAATGCGGTCATCGCTAATAGTCAACATGGATTTATCAGAAACAAGTCATGCCAGACTAATCTGATCTCTTTTTTCGATAGAGTTACAAGCTGGGTAGATGCGGGGAATGCCGTGGATGTAGCGTACCTGGATTTCAGTAAGGCCTTCGACAAGGTCCCCCATGACCTTCTGGCAAGGAAACTAGTCCAATGTGGGCTAGGCAAAACTACGGTGAGGTGGATCTGTAATTGGTTAAGTGGACGAACACAGAGAGTGCTCACTAATGCTTCCTCTTCATCTTGGAAAGAAGTGACAAGTGGAGTGCCGCAGGGTTCCGTCCTGTGCCCGGTCCTGTTCAACATCTTTATTAATGACTTAGATGAAGGGCTAGAAGGCATGATCATCAAGTTTGCAGACGACACCAAATTGGGAGGGATAGCCAATAGTCCAGAGGACAGGAGCAGAATTCAAAACGATCTTGACAGATTAGAGAGATGGCCAAAATTAACAAAATGAAGTTCAACAGTGACAAATGCAAGATACTCCACTTTGGCAGGAAAAACGAAATGCAAAGATACAGAATGGGGGACAATGCCTGGCTCGAGAGCAGTACGTGTGAAAAAGATCTTGGAGTCCTCGTGGACAACAAGTTAAACATGAGCCAACAATGTGATGTGGCGGCAAAAAAAGCCAATGGGATTTTGGCCTGCATCAATAGGAGATAGTGTCTAGATCTAGGGAAGATGCTCCCCATGCTCTAGTCTGCCTTTGGTTAGACCACACCTGGAATATTGTGTCCAATTCTGGGCACCACAATTCAAGAGAGATATTGACAAGCTGGAATGTGTCCAGAGGAGGGCGACTAAAATGATCAAGGGTCTGGAGAACAAGCCCTATGAGGAGCGGCTTAGGAGCTGGGCATGTTTAGCCTGCAGAAGAGAGGCTGAGAGGAGATATGATAGCCATGTATAAATATGTGAGAGGAAGCCACAGGGAGGAGGGAGCAAGCTTGTTTTCTGCTTCCTTGGACACTAGGACGCGGAACAATGGCTTCAAACTACAAGAGAGGAGATTCCATCTGAACAAGGAAGAACTTCCTGACTGTGAGAGCCGTTCAGCAGTGGAACTCTCTGCCCCGGAGTGTGGTGGAGGCTCCTTCTTTGGAAGCTTTTAAAGCAGAGGCTGGATGGCCATTTGTCAGGGGTGATTTGAATGCAATATTCCTGCTTCTTGGCAGGGGGTTGGACTGGATGGCCCATGAGGTCTCTTCCAACCCTTTGATTCTATGATTCTATGATTCTATATAAAGGAAAAGATGGAAAACACGAGAAAAAAAAGGAGAGCAAGACACAAAAGAATGGGAATGGCCAAAAAATAAGGAAAAAGGAAGAGGAAAGGAACTCGCTGAAGATACCAGGAAGTCAAAAACGACATTTACGTCAACCACACATCACCTCCTCACTGTCCAATTTCCAATTTCTATTTCTACACCTTTCACACAATACAAATCCAGCAACCACAGTCATTAGGTGGTTTCTGATATACGGACTGTTGAACGTTTTTCACACTCAAACTTACTGATCTTTATCTTTACTTCTTTATATACTCTTTATACCCCCTCTTTTATCCCACTTTCTGTACAGTTACTATATTTTAGTAATATAAAAGTCTTCTTTCTTTATGGTTTTATTGAAAACTAATAAAGATTTATTTAAAAAAAACAAATAATGTATAAATAATAATAATATATAAATGCACAGGGCAGAGCACAGCATATATACGGCAAACATTCAGTGCTGGGACACAGATTCACATACAATACATAAACATTTAAAAAATATCAAAATATTAAAATACACCATTTAAAACCGTCCTAGTCATCCGCATTAAATCATTGGCCTGGTCATCTTTCCTATTGCTGCTTCATTGTCCTGTCCCGAAAGCTTGGTCCCACAGCCAAGTTTTTATCATCCTTCTAAAGGACAGGAGAGAGGGGGCCGACCTGATCTCACCAGGAAGAGAGTTCCATAGCCAGGGAGCAATCACCGAGAAGGCCCTGTCTCTTGTCCCCACCAATCGTGCCTGTGACAATGGAGGGATGGAAAGCAGGGCCTCTTAAACTTAATCTTTGTGATGGTTCATAGGGCGAGATGCATTCGGATAGGTAATTTGGGCCGGGGCCATTTCACATGGAACAATAAAAAGAAAGATTACCTTTAAAATCTGTCAGGGATACTTTGTGATTTTCCTGCATGGCAAGAGGTTGGATTAGGTGGCCCATGTGATCTCTTCCAACTCTATTATTCTGTGATTCTATTATTTTATGAAAACGGCTGAAGCACAAAGTTGTGGCAAGGAAGCACAAAGTA